CAATAATGGTCTAAAGCTAGACGTTAAAACCGGGAAGTTAAGCTTGTGGAGGCTCTTCCCCACCTTTACCTTTAGGCCGCGGCTAAGAAAGGCCTTCTTTGAAGGCGCTGGAGCTAGTGTCTAAACCCTCCGAGAGGGCACAGGTTCGATTCCTCCCATGTCGAAACTTTGTGAGGACAAACGCGGCATAGCTGACCGGCTCAGCGCCAATCCAAGCCAATTCCTTCGGGAACGCCTAATAGAATCGCCAAGGCTTCGGCACAGGCCTCCCCGGGACCCATTCACTACTAGTGGGGGGTACTGCACTTGGCGCGTCGGGCAGATCAAATAATGGTCTAAAGCTAGACGTTAAAACCGGGAAGTGAAGCTTGTGGAGGCTCTTCCCCACCTTTACCTTTATCCTCCAGTTTCTCCCTTGCTGCTGCCTCATTGAGCAAGGAGTCAAGCTTGGCTGCCTGGCGTTGTTCCCGCCATGCCGCGTGCACCTCCAGCACTTCCTGCACCTCTGCATTGTCGAACCACAGCCTGTCCAGGTCCAGCTCCCAGTGCCGCCACTCCTCACTCGCCAGCAGGGAATCCAGCGCCGGCAGCATGGCCTCCCGCAGGAACTGCTGCTGTGCTGCAACTCCCTGCTCCTTGAGTTGCAGCACCTCACCCGTCCACTGCGCCGCGACCGCTGCCTGGCCCGACCAGCTGCGCTTGAATGGGCTGCAGGCAGGCAGGTGGAGTCAGCATCAGGCAGGCAAGTCAGTCCGGCAGGGGCACGAGAATGTGTAGCGTAAACCTCTTACAGCTTGGGTGGCATTGGCAGCCTCTTAACCTCACCAAGCACCGCCCTTCCCAGCAACACAAACCTGAACAGTGCTCCCGTCAGCATCAGTGTGCTGGGCGGTGCCAGAGGCAGGTTGATGCGGGCGGGGGTGGCCAGCGAGAACTCCAGCAGCTCCAATGGCAGGTTCCCACGCGCCACCGCTACCGCCATGCCCACCATCTTGCGTATCTGGTGCAGCATGAAGCTGCTGCCCTGCATACGCGAGCAAACGGCGGCGGCGTACAGAGGGGTGGGACCTTGTTTGTGTGAATCTTCCTTTTCTTGTTAGGACACCCACGGTGCTGACCTGACCCATGCTGCTGCACTCAGGGCGTGCTTTGGGCACCGGCGGCATACCTGTAGGCTGAGATGGATGCACGGCTGGCCACCGGGAACAAGCACCTCCAACTCTGTACCGGCCCGGCACCACTCGATGAAACTGCAGGCAGGGCAGCAGGTGAGCATGCAAGACTTCAGGGCAGCTGCTTTGGCAGATTGGCTGTAGCCCTCCATCCTGCTAGACATACCGAAAGTGTCGCCGCACAATGGGGTCAGCATCGTCCCGCTCAAACTTCCAGGCCACCTGCACCTGTCCCTTCTTGCTGCTGCTGCAGTCACCTACGCCGATACCTTCAGCCTGCACATTGCCAGCTCTTTCGCCAGCTCTATTGCCGCTGCCGCTGCTGCTGGCTGAGGAAGAGAGGGGTGCTGGGCCATCCTGGCCTCTGCTCCTCCGGCCAGCGCTGCGGCTGTCGCCAGCATGCTCACGGTACAGACGCCGTTTGGTGTAGTTGTGGAATGGGCGGGTGGTGCCCTGGAAGCTCTCCCACGCATGCTGCAGCAGATGAAGCCGCCGCTGGTCCTCCTTCCCACCATCCAGCGCCAGCCCCAGCACCGATGCCGGAACAAAATAGCTGTAGCTGCGCCGGATGCACTCCCTGCGAGCATTCCACGACTTGCTGACGCGCTGGACGGAAAACACACGCACCTGAGAGCAGCGCAAGCGAAGGAAGAAGAGGGTGGTGCAATGAACGGGCGACGCGGGAGAGATGGGGAATGCACCAGCCAGGCAAGCAAAAAACACATACATACTCGCATCTCTGCACCCCAAGCCCTGTCATGGCA